AGCTTGCCTTGCAGATATCTGTGCTTGCAGGCTAGAACAAATATTGTCTCTAAGGGTGTAAGCTTTAGTGTGTTTATGTGCTAACACACAAGGCCACATTTCAAACATTGTTTCCATTCAAGAATTTTTCAGACCTTCTTAAGGCTATTAGGAATGCTATGAGGAGGGAGATTTAAAAGCCTAGTTTGTTTTTCTGGGAAAGTATGAACTCAAGCTAACTAGAATTTCCAGAGGGGTCAGACTCACACCAATCTTTGGTTAGAGAAACACAAGTACAAAGATCAAAATGCTTTTAAAAATGTTTTCTTGTTTCCTAGTATTGGGTGGTTTGGTAGTAACAACAAAGCTAAGCGAATCTGGATGGACGTTTTCAACCAACATGAAATACAGGACAGCTGCTCAAATGATCATTGATACCTTCTCTTCCATAGTCACTTTTGTTCCACCATATTCTGGCAGCAAAACTTTGTCGCCAACCTTCACACTCACAGGAACGACGTTTCCACTCTAGAAGTTAGAGCAAAGTTTGGTGAAATTTAAAAATGGCTGGAGTGGAAAGGGTTAAGCATTTGCTTTGATTTCCTTTTAATTAAGGCCAAGTCACTGGGGACCCAAACACTGAATCAGCAGTAAAAATAACTGTCAGTACTGTTATTTACTTGTAATCCTGTCTTTTTGAGTCATTTAGAAGGGATTTCAAATATTATCTTGTCTGCTGCTTTGTGAATGTGACACTTGACCGATTATAGCTCGAGTTTCCATTATCGTAGTTCACTATTAAATCTCATCGGGGGAGACATTCTCAGGTTTCATGACAGTTGCACATGAAGAGAGAGAAGAGAGAAGAGGCAAGGGGTGAAACTTACTGAGAGCTTTCGTCTAGTCTTTGATTAACAGTCGAGCTGACCAGCCTGCGCAATTCCTCGCATGAATACGTGCAAGGAAACACGAGACAATGGATGGCTGCCTTTGATGGCCATTGTCTTGTATTGTTATGTCACTGCCACCTCTCTGATGACCACAAGGAAATGGAATTTTCCTTTTGAATAACAACTTAGTTCATTCTTACCCTCTGATCTCAGTTTTAATGGAACAGTGAATAGTTTTGCACACATGATCATAGGTTTGGCAAGGAGGGAGGCATGAAAATTTGCAACAAATATTGTTCAAAACCATAAAACTGCCCAACAATATGGCTAAAACAGCAAATTCACAAACTTGTATTTGCCACACCCAACAGATTTTTTTTACCAAAACTGAAAAACCAGATATTCTATCCCAAAAAATGACCCAGACTGTAATATGTCCCCAGCAAGCAAATCTATTTGTTAGTGCCCTGCAGAATCAGTGCCACTAAAGAATGGCAGATTGTTGATCTTTATGCAGGGTAAACGAAGACTGATCTGCTTGTCATGAAACCCAACAATTCTCACCTTATCCCTGGCTCCAGGCCCCACAGCTACTACTGTTCCTTCTAATACTGATCCAACGCCTTTCTCTGGAAGAAGCACACCCCCCTTGGTTTTCTACAAAAAAAAAAAATGAATCACACAGTTTAGTGTGCATGATTGTATACATATATACTGTGGCTGATTTTGTCTTATGTACAACCTCATTTGCCTCTGCCATTAGCAAATTTAATTCTGATCCCCATTGGAGGGAGGGGGAGTAGAGGGGATAAGGGGGGGGGGGTGCATTTTAGAAGTCAACTTTTCTGAAAAACAACCACTGAAAAATAAATATATGCATAGACCTGTCACTTTGTCATGGAAAAGAAAAAATCTTACCACTTCTGGAAGGAACTTTTCAACCAAAATCCTGTCAAAAAGAGGCTTGAATCTTCGTATGGCAGCCTTGAAAAGACAAAAATGCATTTGGCTAATTACACACTGGTTCCAAAAAAAAAATTAAACTTATAATTTAAGTCTTATGCAATCCTTTCATAAGCTTCTTGTGTCAGACAAAAATTAACGTCAGGTGGATAAAAAAAACTTTGCAACGTTCTTGAAATCGTTATCAAAGAATAGTGTACAATCTTCTCCATAAAATAATCTGAGAACAATTTAAGACTTATGGTGGATCGTGAGGTCGTAAGGATCTTCAGGAGGACTCTGAACTTGTTTTTATAATGCTATCCACGTCCCCAATAATATCATTGAAAAAGTTCCTAAGGTTTACTAGGCTTAAACAAGAGTAATTGCAATTGTAAATTTTAGTTTTCAATCTTCAGCTGCGGAAATACTTACCATTTTCACAAGAAAAAGCACGAAGCCTTCCAACCGGCGGAGATATCGAATTCACACGTGGAAAAGAGCAAGTTCTGCGCAATCGTATCGCATAAAGAGGGTGTGTCTAAATGTACAGTAGGGAGGGGAGGGATCAAAATCATAATCCGTGTAGTTATTTTGGTTTGGTAATATCAAGTTTAAGAAAGAATTATCATGACTGAAATTAACTTATAAATATTTTGAACACTTTTCCGAAGTAATTTTGTCTTAGAAACGTTATGTAGCGAGAAGTAGTTTACCCAATATTTTCGCTAAGTGTCCCCACCCTAGAGGGGAATAATTGCTCCTATACAGAGCATGCCGAGTAGATTCTTCGTCCTTTTCGGCACGTGGGTCCACTGAGGTTCAAGACTTCATCGGTGTTCTGCGAATTTTGCACAATTTTGGGCACCTAATCAACTCTAAAACCCGTCATCACTGTCTGCAATATTAAGGTGAGAGTTTTGATCAGTTGAATTTTATTAAGTATATTAATATTACGTTTCAACGGCGATTTTTTTGGCCGCAATTTTGGTCCGGTAAAGATCGCATGTCAAATCAGCCTATACACACACGTGGTTTTTCAGATTAGCCTTTCCTGGAATCAAACTTCTAACTGTGAAAAAAATCGTGATTTTCGGTTAAAAGTATTTAGAAGCGTTGTATTCGTTATCTGCTTGACGAATGTATTACTGCAAATAAGAACTTGGCATGAAATTGCGTTTTAATTTGCGTGCACAGTTAACAGAGCAAGGGAGTAACTTTGTAACCTCTCTACAATTTTTTTTCTCAAGATTTAAACCAAGAAGTCTTATTTGCTAGAATGGCAGGTTATCTAGCCGAAATGAAAAATCAAGAAACCATCAGCACTTGAAATGCATTTGGAACTCAACGAGTTATCTTTAATTTATCATGTGTAGTGTGACTGTGTAACATTTTAGTGGATTGCATAATATGCATGTAAGTAAGAATATTGTTATTACCCCCTGTTAAGGATACAGCAAGGGTTAGAATGTGTCCAGTTTTATTCCTCCTTTCTGGGAACATCCCTGCTCTACATTGCCTTCAACGCTCTCACTGCTCACCATTTAATGTGCATAAAATCTGAAAATCACGAATCTTACTCTCAGGGGGATGGTGCCAAGGTCTGGTCTGNGTGGCAAATGCACATTACTTTAGATGTATTAGTCTAAATTGGTAGTTCACTAAAGTATAATGCTGTATAGTGCTTGTAGTTTGTTGAAACAATCATGCCTAAATTCCAGTTGCATTTTCCTTTCAGACAGAGATGTTTGATTGAATACAACTTAATTCCTTATTTAGTGATTGAACAACAAGTCAATAAATAAACCTCTTTTCCCTTGATTCAATATTACTTTCTTTCAGGGTAAAAATGTAATAATTGAACAAAGTTTTGGAGGCCCAAAGATTACCAAAGATGGTGTAACTGTTGCTAAAGCAATTGAACTCAAAGACAAGTATCAAAACATTGGTGCTCGTCTTGTGCAAGATGTCGCCAACAACACTAATGAGGAAGCTGGAGACGGAACAACAACTGCCACTATCCTTGCTAGGTCCATTGCAAAGGAAGGCTTCGAGATGGTGTCCAAAGGAGCCAATCCACAGGAAGTCAGACGAGGTGGGCGTGGTTAACATTGCTTTCAAAGTCTAGAAAGCCTAAGGTCTACCTTAGCAGGAGTTGTATTGCCTGGCAGAACTCTCATGACATGTTAATATCCTACAACCCAAGGGTTCTCCTATGTAAGGGGCGGGTGGGGGGATGCTTATTGTAAACTGCAAGTTTGGTCACATTTAGGATGTTGAAGACAGAACGCTAATGTCGTTCACATCAAGTTATATTGTAGGATTGAATGAACAGTTGGAAGATATAAAAATAATCATACTCTGTTGATGGTTTAGATCAATCCAGCGTGAAATCTGTAAAAATAGAAGTAATAGATGAAACCAATTCAATGGCATCATCCCTAAAGTCCTTGTTAGTCTTAAATGTCTTTTGAGTGTCTGTTTAAGAATGTTGTAAGGAATCAGATAAAGCCTGAGCCACCTAAAAATTTCTGATCAGCCCAATATACTTCTTATACGTTTTCAGGAGTCATGCTGGCAGTTGAAGCAATCATTGAGAACTTGAAGAAAATGTCCAAACCTGTGACTACCCCAGAAGAAATCGCCCAGGTAAAATTGTAGCCATTTTATCAGCTCTTGAGAACCTGATCTTCTTCACTTTTTTGTGAAATTCAATATTTATAGGATGGTTTAATTTGTTTGCAGGTTGCAACAATTTCTGCTAATGGAGACAAGGGAATTGGAGAATTGATCTCCTCAGCCATGAAGAAAGTTGGCAAGAATGGAGTGATTACTGTAAAGGTAATGAGCATCATTTATGTTCTCTTGACTATGTTCATTATACAGAAAAAAGTTTTGAAATCTTTTGCTCCCTAGTTTGATTCTGTCTCTTTCTCTCTTATCGTTTTTTATCTGTATGTATGTATTTTGAACGAGCGTTTAGCTCACTAGATGATACATGGGTAAATAAATGATTGATTGATTGATTGACTGATTGAATTGATTGATTGATTTTAAACTAGTTGCCAAATTATACATTAGCAAATGGTGATACTTTGCGATGTGTTTTAATTTGAAGGATGGCAAGACTCTCAATGATGAGTTGGAGCTGATTGAAGGACTGAAGTTTGACCGTGGATTTATTTCCCCTTATTTTATCAACACAACCAAAGGTGTGGCTTGTGAAAAGTTGTAAATAGTTCTACTCACTTAGTTTTCGGTTTCTCAGATTGTGTTGTGTATTTTCAAATATTCCACTTATGAAAGTGAAATCCTTTTGTTGGAAAACCTTTTCATCCTGATTTCTTGCAAGGCAGAAATCAAGGGTGCTTTCTATTATTCCAAAAATTCTGAAAATTTTGGTCAGAAGTCAAATGGAATGTTTTTGTTTGGTCTAGATCTGTTTGTGACCACCTCTGGAGGTGGTCCATTTTGACTGATCGGACTGGTTGAACCAAAATTTGCCATTCTATTTTGACAAACTGGTTCATTGCCCTACTTCACCTATGTAGGGAATTCAGAAAAGGAATAAAAAATGGTAAGAACCATTCCTTCTGGTTGGCCTGGTTTCATTGGAAAATGTTGTGCCGTTTTTCCCTGATTATTCCTATTGGTCTCTGACTGGTCGGTCTGGTATAGTGGAAAGCACTCCAAGAGTCCAACTTTCACTCTGTTTACAAACTGAATATCTTTCTTTGGTGTTTGTTTTTAGGACAAAAAGTCGAATACCAGGACTGTTTGGTTCTCCTTTGCCAGAAGAAGATCTCTTCCATTCAGCAGATTGTTCCAGCACTTGAGCTTGCCAGTGCACACAGGAAACCTCTTGTTATTGTAGCTGAAGATGTTGATGGGGAAGCTCTTACCACCCTTGTCCTGAACAGGTAAATGGCAAGAAGAAAGTCTCCATTGTATCTTATTGTAGTGTACCTCAATTATGTTACCCTGAACCTCTGGAAGTAACGACTCCCCAAAAATAAAGTAAAATTATTGTGGCCACTTACTAATCCTGAAAGAAGCAACCCCGAAAGTAGCGAGCCCTCCAGATTTCAGTGTTTTTGAAGTTGCCATCTCTGTTGTTGTAATTCATTGGGTATAATGTGGCAGAGAGGTAACGGTCCATGAGATGCCCTATAAGAAGCAATCACTGCTTAAGATTGACAAATTTAGCATTTCCTCCTTTGTAGGCTCAAGGTTGGTCTTCAGGTGGCAGCAGTGAAAGCTCCTGGTTTTGGGGACAACCGCAAGAACACCCTTGAGGATATGGCCATCGCTACGGGTGGTATGGTGTTTGGTGATGATGCTCTGGAAACGAAGATTGAAGATGTCCAACTTCAGGATCTTGGTGAAGTTGGAGAAGTGTCAATCACCAAGGATGATACCCTGTTCTTGAAAGGAAAAGGTATTAAAGAAGACATTGAAAAGAGGTGCGCACAACTGAGAGAACAACTGGAAATTACAACATCAGAGTACGAGAGGGAGAAACTCAATGAAAGAGTTGCTAAACTTTCTGATGGTGTTGCTATCTTGAAGGTATGCTCCTAAGTCAACTCTTGCTGAAATTGGGTGTGTTTTTAGAAGTTTCAGATCTGAAATAAGGTATCAAATTTTGGGTCAAGTCTGAAACAGGGTAGGGAAAGTCAAACATTCTGGTCTGAAATAGGGTTAAGGTTTCAAGAAGTTTGCTTCACAC